TTTTTTTTTTTTTTTTGTCTCTGTTCGAACTCCAGAACTGAGTTTGATTCAACCAGTCTGCTTGCTTGTCTCGCAGTTGCGCATGACTAGTCTTTGACATTTTGACGGTGTGACTGTGGGAGCTGGTTCTTCTGCAAACTACGGTTTGTACGGTGTTGAAGACAAATTAACCTTAAATGTCACCAATCTGACACTAGAGATTGTAAGTAAAGACATCAGTCAATTAGACAGGAATTTGTGTTTGATGGGGGAGGCTGCTACCGGCCTTTTTGAAGGTTGAGATTAAAGAGCGTTAAGAAGGATGCTTCCTCCTGCAATTATTTCCTTATTTCAAACATCTACCCACACTTTTGTATTGATGTCACGCCATCTTGTAGGCAGTCAGCTGGTGCCTCGTGAGACACAATGAGGCGTTTCAGTGTAATTTCCTCTCTGTGCAGTGTATACAGTTGGTGAGGTGTACACATAAACAAATACACGTTCGCATGCTATACGTGAACACCCTCATTGACGTAATGCATTCCCCGTACCACACAAAAAGGCACCACATAAATGCATGAGGCTCACTTCTCTCAGTGTACCTTCTTTGACCACCCCTCCCAACCATCTGAAGGCCACAGGCGCATTCCTCAGCCTTGTTCCCACTGAAGTGTAAAGGTGTATGTGTGTGTGTGTGTGTGTGTGTGTGTGTGACTATGCAAGACAAGAAACACATTTATGAGCTTTAAACTTTCACTGCTTTGTTATGTGTTTATACTTATACGCCACCATATACCACTTTTTTTACTGTCCATCATGAGCTTGACAGTGTTACAGAAGTGCACTGTTAAAGTCTGTGGAGTACTGTTTTTACAGTAATAGGAGGAGTTGTTCACAATTTTGATAAACCTGTGATAATGTCTAATGTTTGCTAGAATAAGACTTGAGATTATTATCTCTCGGATGTTGTGTCTGTGTCAGTTTGTGTAACTTTATGTGTCACACTGTCTCTTTTCCTGCAAAGGATGTTTAAGACAAGATAACAACTATCAAAGATTAAGCTGTAGTCTGGTGTGTGTGTGTTTTTTGTGTGGTGCGCCGTGATACCCACAATTGTAGTCTACATTGCGTGTATGTTTGACACTATGTCTTAGAATTATTGCTGTGAAATATGGCACTATTATATATTAAAAGCTTCCTAAAGTTTTATATGTTTTAATATATTAAACTGCTTGGTGAATGATGCAAAGAACTTTTTCTTGACAGAGATGGCAGAACACCAGCAAACCTAGATGCATGCACCAGTAGGTCTCAGACCCCAGACAGTGAGTTTGTTGATGCAGACAGTGCCGGTGCAGGAGGGGAGCGAATAGCGGAGAGCTGAGATGTTAGCAGAGAAGTGAAAGTGTCTGATGTCTCTGTGTTTACTGTCGAGGCTTGTTAACTAACAGACTGATGGTTTGATGGCAGGAGGAGACGTCCTGTTGACTCACACTGTGGGTTACTCTGGTTAGTGGGGGGGGTCAGTTTGGCTTCTCTGGAGCACTGTTTGACAAACACAAACGCACGCACACACACAGTCATGGCGATCTGAGATGAGTTATAAAGAGTGTGTTTTGCTGTGAGCTTGTTCTGTTTATTCAGATGTTTTCCCACAGCCCCTGTAAAGCACGGAGGCATCACACCCCACCGGGCTGTTTAGTCTGCTGTGTCCTACAGGTCACTGGGTGGACATACATACACATGCGCACAATGATATCGCCTTCAGAGAGGTGCAACTGAGGGGTGCAACTGGCATCATTTTTTCTTATTTGTGGAATTACCTTAAGTCATTTCATATGATCTAACAGTGTTGTAGGTTTGTAACAGTGGTGCAAGCATGGATCACCACCTTGTTTTGGACTTTTGTTTTAAGTCTTGGCTTGTCTCCGTTTGTGCTCTTCCAATTACGGCACTGAACGTGTGGTTCTTTCTGCAGGCGCACATTGATGTCGTGTTTACCCACAAAATCCCATCAGTCAGCATTCACAACATTCTGTCCCTTACACAAGGACGAACATAATGCGTTTTGTTCCTTGTGCTTCGCTCTGAGTCACCCTTATGGTTTGAGTGTTTTGATGTTTTCCAGAAAGGCACAGAACAATCTACTTTACGTTTATTACTCAGAATTACTAGGGATTCTGTGTCTATGTGTGTCTTAGTTTAGCCATACTGACACTTACTGATGTTTTTTGTGGTTCCTCCTTTTCCCCAGTAGCTCAGGGAGGGTGTGGAATTTGCTTTCCTGTTTTGTCCCTGAAATGTTAGTTAGTCAACATTTTAATTGCTGTCCTGCATTTCTTGACTTTTAGCATTCCCTTCTACCCGATTACAACTCAGGTAGAAGAGTCCAGCTGGCAGAGTGATGGGCACATGCAAGAAGCAAACTTGGAATTATGCCGCTTAGCATTGGATATCTGTATGTAGATTGACATTGTTAGTTTGATTTAGCTATTTTCCACCTTTTAGTCTGACATATACAACAAAAAATGTTAGCATAAATTGTTAGTAAAGGCATGATACATTTTCTTCACACCCTCTGTATATCACACTACCACACCCTGTATCTTCCCTACTATTAATAATTTCTGTTAAAGGCTGAGTGATCTAAAAAATGACCTCTGGAGAAGTGAAACTCTTGAGTTCATTGGATTAGTTACACTGAAAAAACTGCCCTCTATTTACTTTTGCTGAGAGAGTTTTAGCCTTAAAGAAAGGAAATGAAATGCAAAAATCTATCAAACAGGCCTGCCGTTACTTATGCATGTTGATATTAATCTTGTTCCATTTCTCTGTCTTCCAGGCCAAAAACAAAGAGACAGGAGCTCTGGCTGCAGCCAAACAGATCGAGACAAAATGTGAGGACGAGCTGGAGGACTACATGGTTGAGATTGACATCCTGGCTAAATGTGACCACCGTTACATTGTCAAGCTGCTTGATGCCTTTTACCATGACAACAAACTGTGGGTAGGTACCACAAGCATCTGGTTAAGATAGCCAGCTTAAAGTGTAAACCACAAAGTTTTTAACCCTTCTCTCTTTGTGTCTCATCTCTTCCATATTTTAGCACTTAAACTTGGAAAAAAAAGACATGCAAACCAAACCGATAGACTGAATTGAAAAGAAATTATACTTGTTTTTATCCACCAATGAATAAAACGACGCACAGTTTACTTTAACGGACGGACAGTATGCTGCTGCATGAGAACACTGCGGTCAGAGCTGCTATTAGACTGGTGCATAATGTACCAAAGGGACCTTATCTGCTGTCTACACTGTTAGCGTCCTCACTAGATGTAGTGTTCTTGCTGTGGTAAGGAGTTTCTCTATCCTTCCACCAAGTTTTCTTTGCAACCTTTTCAAACAGAGCCACAATACAAAAGTCCAAATGATCAGCAGGGAAGTGGAAAAACAGACCTTTTAAACATGTACATTGGCAGGCACTTGGGATGTTCCATTTCAATCTGTGACTGCCTTGTTATTTTATTGCAACAATATCTCGTCTAGAGTATATTTCTCCTACATATAAAAAGCTCTGTTGAAAAATAAAGATAAGAAAAGTGGATTGCCTTAGTGGGGATGACAGAAGCCCCCTCAGGGTGACATAATGCATCAGAAATGACCCAATCCTCACCCTGATGTTACTGCAAGAATGAGGATCAATTTCAGTTTAGTGTTTTCTGCTCTTCAGTTAGTTTTACTCTCCACACTCGCACAATAGGTCAAGTGTAAACTTTTCAACTCCCTCTCTAATCTCCCAGTCAATCTGGCCAAGAAAAATAATAGTGACCTCATGCTGGGGCACGACCTTGAATATCTGAGGAATTACAAGGCAGCGTTAAGACTAAAGATAGTTGTGTTAGTATTTTTTTTTTTCACCTCTCCTTGCGATGTTATTCTAAACGCACATACATCTAAATATACAGAAATGTATATAGGAATTAGTGAATTGACTGTTATTTTGTTTTCCAATGTTCTTACTGTCTCACATGGTTACTGTGGTTATAGCTTGTGCAGTTTAATACTACAGCAACAGTGTGAAGTGGTGTATGTGTTTACAGCTCAGCCAGACAAACTCTAATAATTGCAACTGCAATCTGATTGACTCTGAAACAGTGTTAAAAGAGCAAACATAAAGCAGTGAGGTAGTTATCAATGATGTAAAATTAAGCTGGACTATAATGCTTGCACTGTTGTTCTTGTGTTTAGCTAAGGAATTGGAGTCCTGAGTGGTAATGGTGGACTCCGCCACTACCAATAACTGCTACATAAAAGCGACAATTACTAAATTTTATAGCATTAAATGGCTACTGCAGAAAAAATGCTAAGCATAAATGGTAAGAATGGGGTTTGATTTCATGAAAATCCTAAGAATTATAACTTTTAATCCAGCATGACAAACAACTTTTATATTTATATATGACCTGGAATCTCTGCCTCTACACACACATACACAGCTATAGCACAGCCCCAGAGCTAGTCATGGTTGTGTTGGCCATAGCTTGAATTCCTGAGCTTGAAGGTGAGTGTTCCCCATCAGTCAAACCTGGACTATGAGACTGTTAGTTTGTTCTACTCAGTCAGATGTACAAACATCCCTTTCTGCTGCATTTAAACCACATGCTTCCTGTGTGTGTGTGTGTGTGTGCGCGTGTGTGTGTGTTGGGCTTGAGTGTCAGCTTTTGTTTTACTGTCTCACTTCCAAGCTGTGTTCAGATACTAATGTGTTCTCTTACTTTAGATCTTACACATATTTGCTCTCAATCTCTTCATAACCTTGTTATTCAGCTGGAATTTTAACAGCAACCATACTTTTTTCTGGATTAGTATAACTCACAGCCAGAATGGACATATGAGCTTCCAACCAGCAGCAGAATAATTATATACAACATGACAAAGGGAGCAAGCTCTGCACCTCATTGCTTTGAGTGTGTGTGTACTAGCCTCAGGATCTCAACAATTAGCCCAGTGGTTGGCGGTCAGGCCTCAGTAACCTCCGGTTGGGTGGACTGGGCAGGGTTGATATGATGCATTCCAGTACCAACCCACCCGTTCTGCTTTTTACTGAGTAAGAGACGGTTAGAGGAAGAGAGAGAGAGACAGTGAGAGAGAGAGAGAGAGAGAGAGAGAGACAGTCAGTCAGAGAAGGGCTGTTTGTTCTCTTACAGGAACAATCTGGTCTTGAGGCTATAGCAGGGCAGCCAGGCCCACAGCGTGAGAAAAAGAGGGCCTTTAACATGGGGACGGGACTGCTGACATCAGCACACTGAGAAGAACGAACAGAAAGAGAGAAAGAGAGAGGGAATGGAGAAAGCTGAGATGATGAAAAAAGACAATAAACACAGACGAGAATTTGCACACATCATTTAGAAGCCTGTTTAAAGGGTTGGTTCTAATCAGCCCTTTGAATCCTGTTAGAGGTTAGAAAGGATGACCTTTTTTAAAGGGCACAGTAAGGGCCTTTATCAGTGGCTGCCAGTGTACAGCAGCATCAGGGTAACTTGTTTCCTCCTTCACATGTCTCCTCCACCCGGAAAAAACTCCTACTCCCTTTAGTTATAGTGGCCTGTAGGTGAAATGCAAACTAAAAGTAATGCTTTAAGCTGATATCAGAGCAGAGATCCAGTTAGAGAGTGTCACTAACATTGCAAGGTGCCTATGCCTGTGAGTATGACATAGCAATGAGTGTGTTTCTGTATTGTCTACCTATAGTGTCTAATTCTTTTCAAGAAACTTTAGTTTGACAAACAAGGAAGAGACCATCACTGTACAATAATGCTGCTTGTTTTTAGACACAGTGAGACAAGGACAATATGTCACAATTATCTGGTTATTTATTTGCCATTATTTGCATACAGTGAGGTCCACATAATGGCACCGGCTGTGGTTGCTAAGAGATTTTTGATGACACTGGAAATCGATCAGGTCACTATGTTGTGCCATTGTTGGCGCCACCTCATATACACACATTGCTGAAGCATTAGTCATGTTCATAGAGTGACAAAGTATAACAGTGCGTCATGTTTTATATGGTTGTGTGTCTTTCTTTATTCAGAATTGCAGCTTCTTAGCAGGTCTTTTGTTGGCAGCCTTTAGACCTCTAGACAAAATGAGGTGGCAAATCACTGTGAAAGTACAGAGAAGTACAGGAACACTGCAATGTCAGCAAGGCTGGCTCCATTTTTTAAAGCTTGTTGGATTTTGCAGACTGTGTCTAATTTGGTTCAGCTTGTCTCAAAAGAATAAAAGAGGCTTTATTTATTTAAGATATTGCACAAAACCAGCTTGGCTCTGTCTGGTAATTCTCTTAAATCAGATTAATTTCTTGAGTGTAAAAAATTTAACTGGATACACATACTGTAACTAAAATGACTTCCTATTAAAACTGAAATGATGGCTTCTCCAAACATGTGGCATGTGATACATTGTGTGTGTGTGCGTGTGTGTGTGTCTGTGTGTGTGAGAGAGAGCAAGAGACAGCTTTGTCTGTATGTGTGTTCAGCCCATAGTGGGTATGTTTTGCATGTAGCTTGACCAGTCGGGGCACATTCTTCACCGCAGCACAACATGTCATCCAGAAATCTGGCTGCAGAGACACTGACGGGAACACAAACCAGTTGCTTCTGACACAGTCGTGTAATGTACACCTGTTTAGGTTGGGCAGCACAGTGTGTTACTACTGAAGGACAGTTAATTTAATTTAGGGGGGTGGTTTTTAAAACAGAAGAGAAATAAAAATAATTAATGTTTGGTTCACTGTGGGCAGGAATAGGGAAGTGGTATGTACTGAAATGTGTAATAAACCTTGCTCTGTAGCGTTAATGATACGCAGACGGTGTGCTTTCTATATAGAATATTATTTTATTAGCATTTACTCAGCACTGCATGGAGATACAGTTGAAAACACATTTTAACAATCTACATCTCAGCTTCTTATGCATCACAAACGGACTGTTTATTTAACAGTATTATCTTGTTGTTAGTTGTAACAATACAGTTTTTTCTGCAGGAGAGGTTTCTGTATTTGAAAGGTTGAAAGCACTAGAGTCTGAAAACACACAGCCCAGACTGTCTTTCCGCTGTCTGTCATTTAAGAAGATGTGAAACTGTATTTTAAAGAGACCGTGGCAGAGTGAAACATCCTTGATACCAATTGACGGAACCCAAAAAAAAAAGAACATTGTTTCACCTTGACTTGCATGCCAAGATTGACATTCCTCATCTTCCACAAAGTATGAGTGTCTTGTGATTGGTGGTATGCATAGTTTCTTGTATTTGTCTGCGCCTGGTGTGTTGGCTCCTTTTGTACTCTCTGTGTTCTTTCTCTGGACTGAAACTCCACTCCCTGTCCAGTACCCATTTGATGCTTTGACAGTGTTGTCATAGCAAGCAGGACTCTGTGATTAAATAAGAATGACATCACACAGCATGTATGTTGCACACCACCTAGGGTTGATCTTTGACCATTTGGAATCACAGGATTATTATTGAAATCTTGTGGTGTCTTTATTTTCTTTGCTCCCACGTTACTTGAATGAAACACTTCAAGGTTTTTCTGACGTGTGTGTGTGTGTGTGTGTGTGTGTGTAGGTGTGTGTGTGTGTGTGAGAGAGAGATTGACTATGTAAGGAAAGGAAATTAAAGGTGATTGTTGGAAGTTGCTATTGGCCAAGGAGACACCATTTAGGGAGTGTGTTCTCAGAATGTTTTTTTTCTCTCCGGTCTCACTGTGTTTTCTTCACTGCTTAACTGGTATTATATATTTGGCAGTGTGTCTCAGGAAGTGTGTATAGTTACAGCCTGGCAGTTTATCACACACTTCAGTCTGAATCCAGCTGTCCACTTTACAAAATGTGTGTATTCTAGTACTTTCACCACATATGTCAAGAGTCTGACTGATGTAGAGCAAGGGGAGTGCTGAACTTCTGTCTGTATTTGCAGCCTGCACTGTTGATTGCGATACTTAAAGCTACATTAAATACAATGAAGGAATTGATATTTTAAAAAACACTCACATTGATTCCCCAGTGTCCACTCTTTGTGTATATGAATGTTGCTGCTGTCAGAAACACATTAACAGCTTCCACTAAAGACAACAAGAACTCAAATTCAAACACTTGGAACTCACTGGCTTTGTCACTACTCTTTATTCTGAATAACTAATATGCAAAACGTGCTCCCCTGATTTACAGCCAGAGTGAATTCATAGTTGCCCAAAGCAATTACATGTCAAATTCTGCTGGTGTTATATTATATAGAATATATTACACATATTATAAGAAAATATTAGCAGTGGGTCAGGGTTTACTGCTGAGAGGCAGTGTTGACTTTCACAGTCAGCAGGGAGTCAGATCTTCTCATAAAACACGTCATCTTATCTTTTCTTTTTTCTTTTGGCTGTTGACATGCAGGATGACAACTGCTCCACCCGGCTAAATCCTTGCGAAGGCGCTGGAAGCCTCAATGTGTCCCAAGATTTACGCACCCTTAAGTCCATGCAATCCATGCATTTGGCTAATGATAAAATAGTGCGAATAGCATTGACTGGGAATGTTGCCAATTTGCTTGTTATTTATTACCTTTTGTACTATTTGTCATTGGTGGAGGGTTATTAATTTACTAATTTTACTGCCACATTTCATGTAAGGTTTTCCTAAATTACTCAAGTTCAAGTGCCAAATCTTAATGATGCTGAATGTTTCTAGTCAGAGAATAAAATATAGTTTATTAACAATATTTGAAAAGATGCCCATGTGTAAACACTAGTTGTGTGTGTGAAAAGTGATCTGTTCGTCCTGTTTCTCCAGATAAATCCCTGAAAAGGGGAGATTACAGCTGTCAATTGTATGTTTGCACTGTATATTCATTAAAACCTCACCACTTCTCCCCTTCCCCTTCTGTCCCCAGATCATGATCGAGTTCTGCCCCGGAGGTGCTGTGGATGCCACAATGCTAGGTAGACCTTTCTTCCCATCTCTTTTTGCTCTGTGTATTTTTATAAGCGTTCCACCTTCCTCCCTGTCACGAGAATCAAGTTCCACACCTGCGGCAGTGGTGTGACTCCACCTGCCGCTGACATAAAGGAAGTGTAGAGACCTGATAAAAGTTCAGAGATGCAATCTAGAAAACCAGCATTTATCACAATACTGACCATTTGAACGTGATCGTGTGCTGCGACTTCACTAGTCTGGCCTTGAATGCTCTAGACATAGTGGAGTCCTCCGGTGTGGGAAACCCCCCTGGTCTGTTTTTACTGGGTAATCCACATCCTCATAACTGTCTGTACCCCCACTGCAGCTAACCAAACACAGACACAGTAGAATAAAGTCTGCAGGGCAGGACTAGTTTATATGTGTGAAAGCTTTTCTGATCTGGGATTACTTATCCAGCAACACTATCTGAGGGTACTCATTGATATCATCACAGGTTTACCTTTTTCTGAGTTCACACACTAGATCATTCCTCAAGACTTGTATATAAATCGAATATGGAATGTGCAAGGTGTGCATAATGGGTTTTGAACCCTCTCTGCTAGTTTTCTCAACTCTCACTTCCATTCTGCTCCTGTTCTCACCCCTCTCCTACCAAATATTTAACCTCTCCATCCCCTGCCTCCTCCTCCCCTGCCCTTATCAGAGTTGGATCGTGGTCTGACGGAGCCGCAGATTAAGGTGGTTTGTCGCCAGATGCTGGAAGCTCTGGTCTACCTCCACAGCATGAAGATCATCCACAGAGACCTGAAGGCTGGTAACATCCTCCTCATGCTGGATGGGGACATCAAACTGGGTGAGGGTTTAGATATTTATACAATGTACTATGACTATGTTGGCATCACGGTGTGCCATTGTGTCCATGCTCACATAACTACACAGTCTGAAATGCAATACGGTGTGTTCTGAGGGTAATCTCATTAAAAAAAAAATTCCAGGGCCACAATATTTCCCTTGTTGTAATTGTGCAGATAATGCAAAAATGTAGTTGTGTTTTAGTTGCTGGAAAGTCTCAGTTGGGTTGTGCACAATTGAATCCACATCTTGAGAATTCTTGGAATCCTGACAGGCAGTTGAAATGAAGTATTCTGGGTTTAAACAGTGCTTGGCTCTACAACATGCATTTGCATGTGTTTGACCTCCCAACAGATTTAACAACTTATGGTGGCTAAATTCAGACACACATTCTTTTGAAGTTTCTGACAAAAGACAAGTGTCCGCATTTGTTGCTCAAAGAACAGGGTTGGAAAAAACATGGGGTATTACAGAAACGTCCTGTCACACGGGAAGTGATGTAAATTTGTTCAATCAACCAATCTACTATTAGAAATAAATGATATATGAAGAGAAGAAATACAAAACATGCACTGAATGTAGAATCCAAAACAATTATGAAATGAAGCAGAAATCCAGCACATTATTCACAGAAATTATACTACTACGAAATATTTGCAACTCATTGATTAGACTTGGATCAAATTCGTGAGTAATCTGTCTCTCTTTACGTTCCATCCTTGACAAAGAAAACCATTTCACTGCCAAAATGATACAAGCCGGCCAAATTCTCAGATAAACCCCACATTCCCTTTGCACATTTCTGGACCGTTGTTTCTTTGGCTTTTGCTGTCACACAAACACACACAGTAAGAGGCCCTGTACCCCTCCTGTGGCGCTGTAGGAGAATCATAAGTGAGCGTTGTGTGGGAAAACGGCATTCTCTGAATTTTTGCATATTTTGATTTATTGGCTTTTTTGAAGAGTTCTCACATTCTTCACATTGCACAGCTGATGGATGTTATGGATCCACCCGAATCGGCAGTATGTTTTGGGTTAAAGCGTAGTTTCCAGAAAAGGGAAAATGTTGACTTTAACATGCTTTATGTGTCAGTTAAGGAAGTGCTGTTTTTTTTTTTTTTCTTTCCTGAATGGCTGCCAGACATTTTAGATCCTGAGACATAAACTTTAAACAAAAACAAAAATATCGGTTTTGCATAAACAATGTTTTACTTCCTTTACTCTCTTTGGCTCTGTGTCATTTTGCACTCAGTCGTGAACAACCAACCAAACATGCTGACTAGAGAGCAACTGCAAGCTACATATAGCTTCATATCTGTGTGCTGCACATTTGTTTAAATGGATTTGATTGCTACATTTCTATTTTGCTACATTTTGCTCACTGAGCTGGACTTCTTGATAAAATTTCCATTGCCTTACATTCTCCCCTAAGACACCACAGTTATATATAATCACTGGGAGTTGCCGCTTTTAAACTCATTAAGTCAAGACACTGACTCATTTACAGTCTCCAAACTTATGTAACTACTTATTAATTCAAAGAAAGGCAGCAATTAGCTGTCACTGAGGCCAGCCAGATGCATTATATCCACCTATGATACATGGCATTTAACATTATGTTCCAATTTTAAAAGCTGCATGCAAACATCAGTACAGAACAGGCAGCATAGTATTGTTGTTTGCACTCATAATTTAATACACAATGTATTTTTCCACTTAAATTTATTAAACTCAAAACCGTGAATCCCAGTTAATACTATTATTGTTTTGGGATTCCCCTCTGAAATACCTGTTTTTGTGTAATCATTTAGTTCCTCATGGCGTAGTGCATTATGGGAGCCTTTAGGTGTGTTAGGGTAGAAATATTTGCGTATAATCATAATAATGCTTCTTGAGAGACACACCTTGGTGTGATGTACGTGATGCATCAGATTTTACAAGTGTATTTGGTGTCTGGCTTTACACCGTCATGTCCTATTCATATGATTTCACCAGAATACATTACCATCCTCTAGGATGTTCATGTGTAAAACTCTTATTTGATGTACAATAAAAAGCTGGAGCGCTATTTATTGTCTTTTAAAGATTCTTTCTGCAAAAGTTTAGACTGCGACAGTCCAAATGATATGTTTCACTGGGAAGTCAAAGATATTTGAATTGTAGTCTGCAAAACCGAGACAGTTACTTAAGTCCCCGTAATAGAACATGCCAGTTTGTAATTGAAGCAGTCAGCCTGCTGCCTTGTAAGTAAAATCCTCAAGCCTCTGCCAAACACTTCTCAGTCCTGGGACACACGTAATATTCTTACTTGCACTGAAAAACGTATTCAGCCAAAGTGAAAACAACACCCCTGTAATCTGAGGGTCATGTTAGTGAAATGGGGGCAGCTGGTTTGGGAGACAGGACTGCTATAAATTCTGGCTTTGTGTCTCTGCCCATCGCAGTGTCATGACAGCTTTACAAGTTACTACAAGGATGGAAGGTGGGATGGGGGGGCTTCACTTCGTCTTACTGAGAAGTGCTGCTGGGTATCTTCTTTCAACTATCTCACGTCATCACTTTCTTTTTTTCTTTGTCTCTCTTCATTCAGCGGATTTCGGCGTATCTGCAAAAAACAACAAAACCTTACAAAGAAGAGATTCTTTCATTGGGACACCCTACTGGTGAGTAAGACCTCCATCTTCATCAGAGCACCGTGAAGGAAGAGAGCTATGCATGAGCTTAGGGATGGGTCATATGGATTAAAGCTTCAGATTTTTGTTTTAAAGAAGTTTTATTGATATTTACATATAAAGAAATTTCCAGATTCAGTTTTGCTTAATACAGTGAAATAAACGCCTGGCAATTGATAATATATTGTATAATTTTATATAATTGTTTCATTACATTGATGCAACATTCTATAATGCATTGAACATTGTCGACAGTATACTATTACAACCGTAGCTATTAAAAGGATGTTTTCCCTGGTAAAAACCATACAGCAAAACCTCTATCTGTAGACACACCAAGCATCCCTACATGAGTTATGTAAGCGGGGGATTATTGCTTGTTGAGAACAAATTTCCTGCTTGCCGCAACTCTTCCATACTACTGGAAACAGCATGATGTTGTGGATACACACACTCAACTGCTGCTGTGCTTTAATCCTCCATTGTTGTCACAACAGTGCAGTTCTCTCCCCTATACCTGAACAAATTGGAAAGATTCCCTTTTGAAATCTCATTCACATTGAACCTTGTTCCATACTTTTATCCTTTTGCGATTATGGTTGGAGCCAGTTAACCATTGACTAGAACAGGTTATCACCCATCAGGAATACCCTCCCAGCTCAAGAAACATGATGTCCTTATTTTGCACAATACCGATTAGTCCTGAAAAGAATATTTCAGTTTCTTTTGTATACCACTTCCCTTGAATGCACTGATAAGCAAAGTCAACAAGAAAGAGGGAGCAAACATTTGTTTCTTTGGGTTATGAGAGCCATTTTGCAGATTGTCTGCAAACATGTGCTGGCCGAAGACGTGTGCTTGGTGTTGACATATGCAAAATCGTAAATAAGAGAGAGGAGAAACCCTTCTTATCCCACTGCAGTAATCACCAGTTAGTCATTTCCTCTCAGTGCTCAGGGATAACTGTTGTAAATACTAGAGGGATATTTTTATGATATCAGAATCATGGCAGGACTGATTTCTCTTAGTGTTGATTTTGCAAGAACAGTTTGTTTTTTATTTGTTCACATTCGCTACACATGGTCATATAATCCACAACTGCTTATCTCAGACAGGTTACGTAATCCATGTTCCATACATTCTTACATTTAGACAAAAAGTTAATTATATACCAAATGGAATGAGCAGGGAGAAAACTCTCCACCCTACAGTTTAACTTGTTGACTTGTTAGCAGTTAGGTTTAACTGAAGATTCAGTGTCCCTTACTATGTAATGGCTCCCAATAAATAAATATTTCCCTTTTGTTTTCTCAGGATGGCCCCAGAGGTCGTCATGTGTGAGACCATGAAGGATGCGCCGTATGACTACAAGGCTGATATCTGGTCTCTTGGAATCACTCTGATCGAGCTCGCCCAGATTGAACCCCCACACCACGAGCTCAACCCCATGAGGGTGCTGTTGAAGATCGCCAAGTCGGAGCCTCCCACCCTGGAGCAGCCGCACAAATGGTGAGGATGCATTCAAAATGAATCAGCTGTTTACATTACAAAACCTTGTATGCACAGCTCTTTTGCAAAATCCATGATTCACTAGTTTCAGCATTCAATATGATCGGTGCAGTCAACAGGGGATTATATCTTCCTGTCTAGATTTCACCAGGTCATTTAATTTCATTCTATTACCACATTTTTGCACACTCAGTGTTCTGTAGTCTACTGCAGAGACTCAATGCATCACATTGTCCTCCCCCTCTCCGCCCGCAGTCCATTTTCCCTGCAGGACTTCAGCAAGTGCCAAACTCTAACTTTTCCCTTATCAATTTTATGAGTCCGAATGTTCCATTACAGCAGATTTAGTACAGCAAAAGTGAAGTTATCAGGTGCTGAAAAGAGATTTGAGATGCAGAGCTGACTCATCATCCTTGCTGAAAGCTTTGTTTTACGAAGCACAGCTGTGCACAAAGATAATCCACGTGTGCCAACAGCACATATCTGGAAATGTTGTGTTGAGATGATTTGTTATGTTGTAACGATCCCTTCACCCCTCCCTCTCCCCTTTCTTTATTCCTCTTGTTTTGTGGTTAATGCTGTTTTCTCGTGTTCACCCAAGGTCGAAGGATTTTAAAGATTTCCTGAAGAAAGCTTTGGATAAAAACACGGAGACTCGTCCGACTGCGGCACAACTTATGGAGGTGGGCACTGATGTACAATGTGCAATTATAACCTAGCAAATGTTACACAATGCTGCACTTTGATATATGCTGGAACATTGTCCTCGCCCTGTCCTTATCTTGCATCGACACACATAATCTTCTATTTTAGGAGCTGAATGGAGTGATCTATGCTAGGGAAGTGAGCCCCATAGAGGGCACTGGCATTTGTGCGGGAGAGGAATAGAATGTGTATAAGAGTGGGCTAGAAATGGAGCAGGCAGAGAAGGAGTGGGATAGAGTAAAACATGAATAACTTAAAAGAAAGTGAGAAAACAAAGCAAAAAATAGTGAAGAAAGGTGACTAAGAATATTTTTTTTATAAAAAGCAATTGTCCACTTTTGAGGCACAGACATTTTATTCTGAAGGACAATAGATGTTTTTGTTCCCATTTTTGTTGAATTATCACAAATAGTTGTACCTCTTGTTTCTTATTATTATAATCCTCTTTGTTTTTTCAACCATATATGCACATACTTTAAGTCTAGTGACACTGGTAAGAAAGGACCACTCGAATGTACAGTAAGTGCACTTCGGCACAGCTAGGATATTGCTAAGAGAGGCTGATGACAAATTTTCTGGCAGTAAAACGATAATATCTGAGGATGAACTTTGACAGATGTTCCTCAAACTCCTGAATCCGGAGCAAGAAAAATGAGAGAAAGTTAAACAGGGTGTGGATTAAAGCACGAGTGCAGCGTCTATTAAAATGCAGAGCCACAGTTTCCTGTCTGTATCCCACAGCTGAGGGAATGCCAACTATTTACATTCCCACCCTTAGCCAATAGTATGTCTGGATTACCATGAGCTCCCCACCTCTGGCCAATTAGAGAGAGGCAGAGATGAAACTCCTAGACCCAGGCCCGCTGGGAATTCTGCATGTGCTCTCCAGTGGGGGGGAAAAGAGACGGGCGCGGTCCAGTTTTTGGTGCCGTGCGGGAAGTTTTAGATGTTTATCATGCCTGCTGCTCCTAACGGCTGTCAGATTTACTGTAAATGGTTGTGCAATGATGGCATTAAATTCAGCTGTGCAGTGAATGTTGATTGATGTCAGTTTACAGGAAGTTACCATCGTGTATGTGACATATTTTAGGTCAGACTTTGTAATGCATTTTATTCATCGGAGTGAATGGATGTAGAAAACAGATGTGGTAAGTGAAGAGGAAGATAATACTGAATCATAAACAAAAGTGTCTGGAGTGTAGGTGCTAAACTGGATGAGTTGTATGTGACTGTATCAAAAGAGGATATGAAAGGACAAAGCTTCATAAACTCTGTCATCTTGCATTTTCCAAGTTTGTCTTAGTTTCAAACAAATTTGAGCCTCTCGCCTTGTATCTGTCCCACATGTGTGCTTGTAAAGAATGTATACAAAACAACATGACACAGAATCAGTCACTCTGGCTGCCTGGGGACCATCTGGATGACTTGTACTCATTATACTGAATATAACTTCTCCTCCCACATAGTTTCTCATGGTCAGGATTTTTACAGTGTTTTCGCTGTAGCTTCCATTCATGTGTAATATTTTATGTTTTTTGTGATTTGTATCATGGTGTGTCTGCATATTGGGTAATTTTGCCATGGGAGTATTTGGCTATTTTATCTCTGAGTCAGGATTTTGAAGTGGTTTCGCAATATTGACGTGTGCAGGCACCAACACACACACACACACACACACACGTAGTTATACTTTTATATTTGTGAGAACTCTTATTGACATCATGCATTCCTTAGCCCTGAACCATAACTCTATCCCAGTTGTACGCCTAAGCCCAACCCTTACTCTAAACTTAATTCTGACATTAGTCAGTTCACCAAACTTTCAAAGGTGTCCAAACAGTGAGGCATAGCTCCCCAGGTAGGTGCACAGGAGTTGTAGTGGGGGCACGGAGGGTGTAAGTGACTATATTAATTTTATTGACAATAATAATACAAAGCAAAATACATATAGAAGACAGTGATTGTAGTGCAGGAGAGGAAGGAAGCCTTAAGGGGTTTATTCAGTCCTTTCCTGTTCTATCAAAATAAAGTTTAAAAATTGCATTAATATAAAATAATGAGAGAAAGAAAACAGAAAAACAAACCTATGAGTAGATACAACTAAAGAAGCATCTTGCCATAAGGTTCGAAATAAAATGAGAAATGTCTTTAACTGTGTCTTAAAGGCTAGCAGTCCTATTAGACGACAATAGGCTGAATAATATATTGCGGTGAAATGGACAAGGACAATGGACAACATGATGATGTTCTAAAAACAACAAGAATTTAGTAATTGTAGTTTGGTCTGCCAATTTGCCACTCACCAACATGGTCAACAGTATGACACACAAATCACTTATTTTTAGTGACTTACACTTATATCACTAAAACTCCAGAACTTGCCTCGGAATCACCACTTTAAGTTTTCTGCAGTATTATAGTAATCCTGTGATAGCTGTCCATATGGTTATGTTGAAAACTGCTAAATGGTTAATTTGACATACTTTTAATGGCACAATTGTCTGTTTTGTTTTGAAGGGGGAGGTAAACTATGGAAACCTCTGCTCCAGTTTAATAATTTGAGATGTTCATCCTTACCATTTCAGCAATGTCCCCAATATGATCGAGGTGAATGAAATGTTCTGGTGCTGAAAGAATTAAAGAATTACATTCTTAAAAGGCAATAACATCTCTTTTTAGAAATAGATCCCTGTTTTTCTTGATAGACCACAAAACAAGCTGTGAAGTTTTAATAGGATCTATTTTTCAGTAAAGAATAGTTCCTGTGAGGTCTGTGGTTAATATGGTCTTTTTTACTGGAAACAGTGTATTTGAAAAAATGTAACTTTGCAGTGCTTTGAGCACGACAACTGAGGCAGAAATCATGGACTGATATTTCAAAATTTGGGCAAATAAAAGTCAAGTAAATTTTATTTATGTAGACCAAAATTACTACTTGCTTCACCCTAACCCTTGTCCCGAACTTAACCTAAACCTAATTATAACCTTAACCCTAAAAACAAGTCTTAACCTCCAAACCACCCTTTGAAGTAGTGAGGAGTGACCAAAATGCCCTCACTTTCCCAAAAATGTCCTCACTCGAGGTCTACAACTCAAATTTATCGTCACAAAGACAGAAGTACAAATACACACACTGTCTCGCTACACAGGTAACTCTGCCCTCATGCAGCGTCTGCTATGGTCCCCTAATGGGCCATATTGTTCACATTTAACCTTTTCCCGCCCAGCCATGCGTGTAAGACCTAAAAAACCACCAGCCTCACTGGGTCTAAAGCAACATGAAACCTAAAAGAGAGGACATAAGCTCCACTGATACACATCTTAATCCATTATGGCAGTAAAAAAAACATAGCTAGATTTAACACGGCAGCAATACTACACTGTTTTCCTTTTTCCCTTTGATATGCGTCAAGGAACTGGGTTTAGTTTGAACATGGGAGGCCTGAGTTCACTTGCTACTAAACAGTGTGAAGCTGAAATCTCAGATGTTTAATACTGTAGGTGATTTTCTATTGGTGTCTAAAGGGAAAGAAAAAGAGATGCATGGATAACATTTTGTTTTGACTCAATAATTACCTTTGCTTAACAGTGTAGGCTTAGCTCAGCAGTGGAACTTATCCTTTATTCAAAATAAAAAGGCTAGAATGATAAGTACTAAAGCTGGAATGAGTAGTCGAAATAATTGATTTTTAGTACTCACCCTACTTTGCCTCTTGCATCAGTGTCTATTGACCAGCTTCACAAAGCTTGATGCTGATGTCTTTCTCATTTTCTTCTTGAGCTGCATCACATGATATTTATTTATTTCCAAAATTCAAACAGGTGTTTTTACATGCAAGAACATCTGTCAGAGTTAGTAAGAAGTCTTCAGAGTCCTTATTGCAGTGGATAAAAACTCTTTTTAAAATGGGATGATTTGGTGGGCAGGGACATATAATAGAGGGCATCAGCTGGAAGAGGTTGTAACAGGGTGATAGGGAGGGAGGAATTGTGCGTTAATAGTGATTCAACTGAAACTGTGCTGCAGTTTTTTGCGTGACTGTCCGTGCTGCTGTACCGAACTGTTACAGGTGACGTAAGTATTCTCTCAGTGATGGATGTGTAAAACTGAAGGAGTAGGCTTTGTTTTACTTGGGATTTTTTTAACTGGGCTTTTCTGGTAATGTGGTCTGTATTGATGTGCCATTTGAGTGTGTTGCTGATGGTTATGGGTTTTCCTGAGATGTGTATGAGGTTTTTGCGGAGTGGCCCAAATATATCATGAGTTGAGCTGGAGGTTGTTATCAAGGCATCAAGGGAATGCTTGGGCTACCTGCTCACGGTATCAGTCTTTATTGTTGCTGCTTATCAGTCCAATTATGATTGTGTCTTCTGCATATTTAAGACTGGTGACTGAGCTGTGGTGGGATGTGAAGTGATTTTGATAAAGAGAGAAGAGCCAGTGTGAGGGGACCCAACCCTGGAAGGGTGCCTGTGTTGAAGGTCAGAGGGTGAGATGAAAAACTATTCATCTTAACCTTCTGTTGCCTTCTCCACAGGAAGCTCCAAATCCTGTGGCATATGCAGAGGTCAGTATTCATGCCCAACTGTTTATTGAAGTCACTGAACAGGATCTGGGAGTAGGTGTTGGTTGACTCTTAAGTGTTGTAGTGTGTGGTGGAGGACCAAGTTAAAAGCATCCTCAACAGAAGAGTTGGCTCGGTAATCTTGGTTGATTTTGGCACAGGGGTTCTGGCTGAGTCCTTGAAGCACTGTGGTACTGTAGACTCAAGGAGTGAGTTGTTGAAAATGTTGGTGTTATGCCAGTTGAGCTCAACAGGTCCAGCTGGACTATTTTGTCTTTTTTCTTGTTCAGTGGTTCTAGTGGTTCTACTTGATTTTGTTAGACCTAAAGAACCTAAGAAACCTAACAATGTCCATAAAGACGCCCTTTTCCTGTTGAGATAGTTAGAGAGTAGATGGCCTGTGCACAGGAACTCGGTTATTTATTTACTTTGGCCTCCAAATGCATGTACCTACTGAAACCCTTGCTCAAATGTCACACCGTCTTCTAAGCTTCAATCAGCATCGGTATGAAATAAATCTTTAAATTCCAGTTCCAGGCTGTTTTTGCTGTGATTATGTCATGTTCTGCAGAACATCCTTTTTATATGCTTGAATTCAAAACACACACTTATTTTTGGTAATATTGTATGCATATGCAACATATTTTATTAATTAAAAATTTAAATCTTGCCCCAAAACTGTCGGACAGGTAAAGAGAAGGATACACTTGTTGTATGTGCTACTGTAGTGCTCACTCTTTAATGCCCTAAGATGGGAAAGCATAGACAAGAACAAGACGTCTCAATGTAGACGGTATAGGTTAATATTAAGACCCTTGGTATCTTAATTTGACAATGGCTATAAACAATAACCTGTGTAATGTGCATACTCCATTATTTCCACTGCAGTGTAATAAATAGTTAGATGGCACTCAGCATTTACACTACATTAGACAATAGCTGACATTGAAGAAGTTAAAAGCTGCAGCCTAATGCAGTCCTCGAGGACAAGCTTCTGTACACAAACAACTGTGATCACCCACGATGCACACACACACACACAC